CCTACGTTAAAAAGGAATGAAGATCACAAATTAATAACCTACACTTCCACCTTGAGAAACCAGAAAAAGAAAAGCGAAAAGCCTACACAGGCAGAAAGAAGGAAATCACACAGATAACAAAGGAGAGAACAAAGGAGAGGCAAAGCGGGACCTTTGAGAAGAGCCACAGACTCGACACACCTGTAGCGAGACTGACAAAAAAGAAGACTCAAGTCATTAAAATCAGTAATGAAAGAGGGGACATTTCTGAGATCTTACAGAAACAGCGACTCTTTAAGAAAATTACAGGAGAGCTGACCACAAGGACGGACTGTTTTGGGGCTGGCAGGGCTCGGATTGCTAATTCCCCAAACGGACCTGCAGATTGAGCCCACTTGCTACCAGAATGCCAGCTGCTACTCTTGCAGAAATTCACACGTTGATCCTGAACCTCATATGGAAATGAATGAGCTCAGGAGGGCCAGGGAGGCCCGAGAAAGGGACCAAGATGGAAGACTCACACTCCCTGACTTCCGAACCTGCTGTGTGCTAAAGCACGGGGACGGGACAGGCACACAGGTCAGTGGAAGAGAACAGGGTCCACGAATAAGTCTGACCATTTACTATGACCCAGCAGCAGCTGGCTGGGGCAGAACGGACCTCTCCCGGAGTGGTGCTGAGACAACTGCATCTTCGAAAGGAAAGGAACCAACGCTGACCCCAACTGGACACCACACATAAGACATTAACTCCACACGTACTGAGGACCAAAAGGGGAGAATGAAACCCCAGAGATGTTGGAAGGAAAACGCAGCTGCCAATCTTCACGATCTCCGATCGGGAAAAGATCTCTTAGAAATCTACCTAAACACAGGAAACAACAGATGCAGCCGATGGAGATTCAAGATTCTTGCATCACAAAGGACCTTGTTAAGAAAGTGAAGACGGACAACAGAATGACAGAAAACGTCTTCAAGTTATATATTTGACAACAGTCTAGTACCCAGAATACATGGAAAATTCTTACAACTTAGTAATAAAATACTAATCACCCAATTAAAAAATCGTAAAGGACTTGAACAGACACTTCTTTGGAGATCCAGAGCCGGCCAAGAAGGACAGGAAAGGACGGTCAACGTCGTTCAGGGAAACAGGAGTCAACACCACTTCACACCCCTGGGAGGAAACAAGCAGGCAGCTCACGAGAGGGTCTGGGCTGAGCGAGGACACAGCAGCTGGAGCCTTCACACGCTGTGGGCCCTGTGGATGGGGCAGCCTCACGAGAAGCAGCCTGGCATTTTCTCAGAAACTGAAACACAGTTAAGATACAACACACCGATTCTACCCCTCCACTGTGTCCCCAAGGGAAATGAGAACTAGTCTCCCACTCACACGCGAATGTCCCCGCAGCGGTATTCACAACAGCCAAAAGGTGGGACCCACCCAACGGGGATCTGTGGGTGACAGACCAGAAAATGGGGTGTACCCACACGGTGGACAGTGCCCAGCCTTTAACAGGGTGGGAGCAGTGACACCCGCGACAGCGGGGATGACCCCTGAAGACCTCCAGCTCGCTGAGGGAAGCCAGTCACCGAGAACCACAGAGCATGTGATTCCACTTACATAAAACATCCAGAATGCGCAAATCCGTAGAAGCAGACCAGTGGTTGTCAGGGGCTGGGGAGGGGGGTGGGGTGCGACGGGGGATGGGATTTCATTTTCAGGATGATGAAATGTTCTGGAACTGGACAGTGCTTAGGGGTAACCGTTGCACAACCTTGTGAATGTACTCAAAGTGTACCCTTTAAAACGCTCAATTTTATGGTATGTGAAGGGTATTTTTTTAGTGAAAGAAAAATCGACGGACGGAGGCGGGATGAAGAAAGAGAAGTCCGTGGTCTCACAGTCACTGCTGACTCCCTGACTGGAGGACCTGAGCTGCTTTGTGACTGTGGCACCCCCCACTTTCCTCCTCACTGCATCCCTGTGGGGGACCCCTCAGCCCTGGGATTCTGAACAAAGTGTACTCGTGTGTGTGATCGTATGTACCAAAGGATGTGCCAGCGTGCACCAGTGTGTGTACTAGCGTGTGTCCATGTGCACCGGCATGCGCACTAGTGTGTACTAGTGTGTGCTCATGCGCACTAGCCATGTTCATGTGTGCTAGTACAGGTGCTAGTGTATGCTGGTGTGTACTAGCAAGTGTACTAGGTGTGCTAATGTATCAGTGTTCTGTACCAGCATATACTAGTATGTATATTAGTGTGTAGTCATGTGTGCTAGCATGTACTAATGCGTGTGCTAGCATTATGCTAGTGTGAGTACTAGTGTGTGTTAACATGTGTGCTGGTGTATATGCTAGCATGTATACTAGTGTGTGTAAACATGCTAGTGTGTGTACTGGTATGCAAATGTGTGTGTACTAGCATGCACGCTAGCATGTGTATTAATGTGTGTACCAGTGTGTTCATGTGTTCTAGTGTGTTAGCTTGTCTACTGGCATGAGTAGTAGCATGTGTGGTAGCATGTGTGCTAGTGTGTATACTAGGTGCGTGCTAACATGTGTGCTAATGTGTGTACTAGTATGGTGCTAGTGTGTGTACCCTGGTGTGTGCTAGCGTGTGTGATAATGTGGGTACTAGTGTGTTAGTGTGTTCCAGTGTGTGCTAGTGTGTTAGTATTTGTGCTAGGGTGTCCTAGCGTCCGTAGTAGTGTGTGTACTAGCGTGCATGTTAGTGCATGTGTACTAGCGTGTGTACTGGTGTGTGTGCTAGCGTGCATAGTAGCATGTGCTACTATGTCCTAGGGTGCGTACTAGCATGTGTACTAGTGTGTACTAGGAAGAAGCAAGAGGGATTACACCACAAAGATGCAGGAACCAAGCAAATCCCCGGTGCGTTAACTAGGACGACTCCACAGGGGAGTGTCTGAGGTGCTCCCGTGGTTGGCAGGGACAGCGTGGGCGGGGGATCCTGGGGGTGGGCGGGGACAGGTAGGGACAGCGTGGGCGGCAGAGACTCCGGGGGTAGGAGGGGACGGCGTGGACAGCGTGGATGGTGGCTGGGGACAGGTGGGGATGGCAGAGTGTGTAGCTGTGATGTATGACTTAGTCTTCTGCTCTGGGTGCCACACCCGTGGTTCTCCGATCAGGACGACAGCTACTCCCGGCCAAATGGTTCACAGCCGCCCTCCATCAGGCAGATGTGTGGCTGGACGGGGCAGCCCTCGGGACAGGGATCCTGGCCCCCTTCTCCCGTATTCACCCGCCTCAGCTCTCTGCCCACCTCGTCCATTCTGTCCCCGCGCCACTAAAGCACATTCCTTATTCCATGTAAGGCTGCTTTTAAAAACCCTTAAGTTGTTTTGGAAGAAGGGACAGACCAGTAAGTAAACGAGAAAACCGGTGACTCCGCTCACTGCTACAGGGTCCGGGAGCAACTACGTTAAGAAGAGTGGGAGCACCGAAGGGTGAAGGCCAAAGCTCGCTGTGTCCCACACGGCACCCCAGGCTACACGGCGTCCCATACACGTTCCCACGTATGTCCTCCTGCGTGTCCCACGGTGACAGCCCTGTAGCCTCAACGGACCAGAGGCCACCCTCAGCCAACAGATGGTGAATCCGAGCAGCGCGGTGGGTGGCGGGGCAGAGCCCTCTGAGGGTGGCAGACGACAGTGGAAACTCCTCGCACCGCCCCCACCCTCTGTGACGGGACAGAGGGAGCACAGTGCTAAGGCAGAGCCTGCACTCTGAGCCCAAGAAAGGGGCATCACCCGATCTCACTGAAGCCCTTGCTTGTCAGACACGGTGAAGACGGGAAAGCGTCTGTCCAAAAGACGAGGAAAGCTGGAGCGCCTGGTGTCTCATGGGTCCTTAACACCAGAGGACTGGTTTCTGCGCACCTTCACGTCCTCTTCTCAGGAGTCCCTCCCGAAGGCCCTAGACTTCCGACACCCCGGCAGCCGCCCGCGGGACCCCAGCAGCCGCAGGTACTGCCAGCAAAGGCACACGTGGGGCCCGCGGGGCAGGCAGCGTGGGAGCGGGAGCCCGGCGAGGTGTGCACCCTCCGAGGCCTCGCTGGGCTCAGAGGGCAAGGACCCTGCACACGTGTGTGAGCTCGCATACCTGTGCACCACCCGAGAGTCCTCAGCCTCCTCCAGACGATCTATGGGATCATGGACCGAAAAGTCAAGAGCGCACCACAAGGTTCAGAGACCACGTGTAGACCACGCGTAGGCATGGGCACAGCCACACGGTTTGGAGACCAGGTGTAGACCACGCGTAGACACGCGCACAGCCACACGGTTTGGAGACCACGTGTAGACCACGCGTAGACACGCGCACAGCCACACGGTTTGGAGACCACATGTAGACCACGCGTAGACACGCGCACAGCCACACGGTTTGGAGACCAGGTGTAGACACGGGCACAGCCACACGGTTTGGAGACCAGGTGTAGACCACGCGTAGACACGCGCACAGCCACACGGTTTGGAGACCACGTGTAGACCACGCGTAGACACGCGCACAGCCACACGGTTTGGAGACCAGGTGTAGACACGGGCACAGCCACACGGTTCGGAGACCAGGTGTAGACACGGGCACAGCCACACGGTTCGGAGACCAGGTGTAGACACGGGCACAGCTGCTCACACTCAGCAAGCGTGACCAGGGGAGGAGCTCCGGATTCTGGGAGGGGGTCCTGAGTTCAGGCCGCGGGGCTGCCGACCGGCCTCGCACATGCACCTGACAGTCCCCTTATCGGGATGGCCCGGGCACACACAGCACCTGCGTATAAACGTCTCCCTGACTACGGCTGCTGCAGACACCAGCTGCGTCACCTCCCAGACAGCCGCCTGCTTGGAGGAGGGTGAGAAGACGACGCGCCCGCCCGGCCAGAGAAGCATCGTCATGGGGGACCCGCGACTCCAGAATTCTGAGTCGTGCGTTTGGAGAAGGACGGCCCGCCCACCGCCTGGGCTCGGAGTCTCCGGTCCCGAGAAGACCGCTGTCGCTGTCTTACCGCGCGGCCAGCTTGTGGCAGACAGCGCCCGTGTCAGTGATGACCTCGCTCAGCCTCAGCTCCAGGTGGACCTTGCCCTGGAAGGTGCAAGAACAGAGGGTCATGAGGGGACGGCCACGCGCAGGGGCGCTCCCAGCAACCCCGCTCACAAACGTGAAGCTGCCTGACCCCACGTGGCAACCCCAGCACCGCCCCGCCCTGACTCAGATCCCAGGGCCGGACGCGGGCCCGGCTCCCCCAGAAGGCTGCTTCAGAAGCCAGCGGCCAGACAGCGCGAGGGACGGTCCCTCAGGACACCGCCTCCCAAGCACATCCGCTTGCTTGCTTTACATTTTGTCCCTGCCTCTGACGCTGAGCCCGCGCGCAGGTACACCCAGCTCTGGACCATCTCATCCTTCTGTGCGTGTGAGGCCTGGACCCTAGGCAGGGGTCTCAGTCCTGGGCCCCAGACAGGAAGTTAGTGCTCATGGATGCTTCTAAGGAGACGGGAGCAGAGGGGACTGGAATGCTGAGAACAAGACCAGTGCTGTGTTTCTGCCTGCGTCTGCGTCTGTGCAAAGGGCAGATCAGCTGCAGGATCTAATCAGGTCACCATCAGGGGTCCAGGGTCGGGGGGAGTGGGAAGGGGCTTCAGGGAAGAGGAACCTGCTCCCTCAGAAACATCCAACAGCAGCAAGCGTGACACACGGGCGGTTTATAGGAGAATGCACTACGACGTGAAAATTAGCACTTCTCTTAAATAGGCTCAGACCAGCGTGGAGCCCAGTGTGGGGCTAGAACTCACAGCCCCGAGATCAAGACCTGAGCTGTAATCAGGTCAGATGCTCAATGACTGAGCCGCCTCGGAGCCCAAAACCGTCTTTTTTACTGGACAAGAAGGCTGACTGGGAGCCCCTCCAAGGTCCTTTCCGACTAAAACTTTGTGACTCTGCAGCTTGGGGAGGAAAACTGCTTGTCCTGGAAGAATCCAGGCCCAAGATGGTGGGCCAGGTGGCTGGGCCGGAGGAGTGCGGCCGAGACCCCTCGGCGGAGTCCCCTGGCCTCCTGAGTTTACTCCTCTGAACGTGGTGGCCACGGCCCTACTCTTCCTGCAGCTTCTGGACCCCTGGACCTCTGGCTCGCCCAGGACAGAAACGGGAGACCTGATGCGTGTGGGCGAGACAGGCACTGAGGCCCCGGGGAGCCCACCTCTCCCCTGCTGCAGGCAAGGCTGGGTGCGGCCCTTTCTGGCCCTTCCTTCCACAGCAGGACCAGTAGCCTCAGAGGGTGCAGCAACATCTCCTGGATGGTAGGACTGGACCAGCATCACACCTGTGTGACCCTGGGCAACACCCCGTGTCCAGAGCACAGACTGAGGATCCACCACGGGCTCTGAGGGGTTCCTGCCCCGTGCAGCAGGGCTGCCTTCACAGGGATGCACTGGCCAGGAGCAGCCAGCGGCCCCAGGGAACCAGGAGCCCGTCACACACAGCCCAGGGAGTGTTGGCCCCAGAAGGCCCCTCATGGAATGGGGGTGCCAATGGCAGTCTCCCTGATGCATCACGACCCTCTGGGCCCGCCCAGCCCACGCGAGGGGCCCTCAGCGTCCGCCAACCCTGCCGCAGGAGCACACACAGCCCTGCGGCCCGCAGTACCCCTTCACGCAGCCGGGCCAGGCTCCGGGCTTCCCCAAGCATCACACGGGGCAGGCGCCGCCGTCCTTTGGCTCCGGGGAGGACGCTGCAGCTGGGCGGCAGGCAGCCTGCCCTCTATCTACAACCCAGTGCCAGTGAAGGCTGCAGATCAAGGAGCACAGCAAAGGCCTGTCCACACAGGCTCCTGGAAAGCCTGTGTCCTCCAGTGGTGTCCTCCCACGCGCTGGGCCCGGCTCTCTTCTGCCTTCATTTTCAGGCTGGCCACAGCCGTTGCAGGGACAGGGCCCTGTCTATTTTCAGTGGGCTCTGAGAAGCAAGAGAGCCTGTCTGGGCCGGACGGACCCCCACCGTGGACGACCCGAGGCGCGTTTCCTGTCCCCCACCGGGAGGAGAAGCCACCCGCAGCAGCAGACCCCATGGCTGCCGCTTCCTCCCGAGGGCAAGCCCTTGCCGGCGGAGGGGCAGATACTCTCCACTCAGGCCCGGGGCCACTACTTTCTGCAGATTTGGGAGAGGAGGGTGGGCAGTGACCCTAACCACCCAGATGCCGCCTGGCACGGAGAGGACGCCCCCAATACGGCTGCGGCTCAGAAGTTCCCACAAGTCACTGCACAGCGGATGGAGGGTCTGGGCGTGTCCCGTGCCCTGTGGGTGACACGCCAGCTTGCTCACAAACAAGCCAGCCACAAACGCCGACACCCGACACCCCGGGCAGGGTACTGGGGCCGGGGCCACACCCGCCACCGCAGGGCGGCAGGAAATGCGGGTTTTCCAGCTCGGCCTCTGCACAGCTTCAGAACCCACGGAACTGCCCTCTGCCCTCGAAGGCTCTGGTCCCACGGTCCCAGCCCCAACGTGCTCAGCTGGGGGGGTAGGGGGGCGGCACCCAGAGCACAGGCGTGGTGTCAACACTCAGCTTCTCTGAGGAGAAAACAGTCTTAGGCTGGTGCATTGAAAAGACTGATTTGGTAGCTTTTCCCATTTTTACTTAAGGTGAATGACAAGCAACTGGGAGGCGAGCCCCCCCTCCCCGTCCCCGCTCCGGTGGCCGCCTGGGGGCTCCCCGTCTTGCGGCACAGACAGCGGCCGGCAATGGGAGGTGCATCACACGCGTCCGCTCTCGGGAGAACGGAAAGGAAGCGGGAAGTCAGGGCAGACAGCTTCATCACCCCAGTATCTGAAGGTGAACCAGCATACTTCCAAAACGACCCAACCCAAAACGTCTCGGGAGAAACTGAGAGATATTTTTAGCTCATTTCTTTTCATAAGTGAAAATGAAAATAAAACTCATCACAGCACGTGGGATGCCGCAAAAGCAGTGCTTACGGGGACTTTACAGCAGTGGCCGCGCAGGTCGGAGGAGAGATCTAACCTCACTGATGTAAGGGATCTCAGGGCGCCCGAGTGGCTCAGTGGGTTAAGGCCTCTGCCTTCAGCTCAGGTCAGGATCTCAGGGTCCTGGGAGGGAGTCCCGTGTGGGGCTCCCTGCTCGGCGGGGAGTCTGCTTCCCCCTCTGCCCCTCATCCCATTCGTACCTTCTCTCTCACTCTACCAAATAAAGACGTAAATTCTCTAAGGAAAATTATGTAAGGAGTCTAGAAGGAGACCAACTAAATCCAACGTGAGCAGAGAAAAGACATGACAGAATCATAAAATCGATTAACCTTCTAGACAAGCTAACTAGGAAACAAATACCAGAACGAGAGAGGGGCCGTCTCTGGTGACCCCACGGGGCCACCCTGCAGGACTCTGTAGGCGGGACCCCATCCTCTGCCCGACCAGGGGGCGCACAGCCTCTGACCCGCGTCTGCTCACCAGCTGCAGCAAGTGCACCACGGTATGTCAGCCACAGGGGCCAGGTGGGGCAAGGACATGGGAGTTCCTTCCATTTTCTACTCAATTTTCTGCAAACATAAAACTGCTTGAAAAATAGGTTTAGTAACTTAAAGAGAAAAAAGCACCAGTCCTGCTCGCTTCGGCAGCACACATACGAGAAAAGCGCCAGTGGCTCCCATACATTTTTCTCAGGAAAGCTTCAGATCCTGGCCTGCAGAGAGGGTCTGTGGTCACAGCAGCAGGGCCCACCGTCCCTGGCCCATCAAGCCCTGGTCTGCATGGGCCTCAGGGCCGGGGTAGGGGTCAGCGCCCAGGGACCCAGACCGCTGAGCACTTGGACCTTGGCTCCAAGAGCAGCAAGACGACCATGAACACCGAAGACGAGAGAACAGGTCAGAAATGATGCGTGAAGGAGGACAGAGGTCCAGCCGGCCCCTGCCTCCCTCGATCCCCTAAACCCGCAGAAAGATTCAGAGCTGGGTCCTTGTATATGCAGACAACTACAGATGTAGCCTGTGGGGAAAGACAGGAGGACCGTCAGACACACAGGGCAGCCGCGGCTCCCAGAGCTCCCCGTCCCGCTACGGAAGGTTTGCTGTCAGAGCTCAAGGCCCTTCCCAGAAGGTCTACTAAAACAGAAGAGCTCACAGCAGAGCTCAGCCGGGCATCCTCGGAGGAGCTGGGGAAGGACCTCAACACAGCAACCAATTCTTTTTAATAAAGTGATTTTCCAGAGACCTTTAAAAATATCGATTGCAGAAGGAAGAAGAAGTTCTTTAAATCACATTTTCCCACCGCAGTGACTCCATCTCTCACTGGCCCCGGTTTTGTGACACTTTCTTTCTGACATACGCCTTTCACTGTCCATGACAGAACAGGTGGATTCACGAACCATATGCCATCCTCTGCCCTTCTGAAACCGTAAATGTGACATTTCAGGATGAAAAGACAGCTGTAGGCAAAGACTGTCATGCACTGTTCAAGGCAGCCTGAACCCAGGGCAGTTCTGCTCCCTCCGTGGGATGGCCACTTCCTCAGGCGTCACTCTGAGAAGGAGCCACCCGCACAGGGCCCAGAACTCGGCAGGCCACCCGAGGCCACACTGTCCCTCCTCCTGTCTTCAGAGTCCTGGCAACACCCACTCTCTGTTCACGACTCAGAATTCGTATTCCTAGGACACTAGCTGGAAACAGCAGCCCATCTCAAAGATGGTAGGAATCAGGCTCAGAAGGACAAGGATCTTGTCCACAGGCGCACGAAACACATCAGGTGGACGCAGCCCAAATATCACAGTGTACGACCAGCACACGCCCCGTTCATAAGTTTTGTGGTGGCAGAGTGGTTCTACATCTTGACTGCGGTGGTGGTTACACAGACCTACACACGTGACAGAACGCATAGGACATGCATGCACGGTACACGTGTACAGGCGCACACACGTAGTACACATGCAGGAACACGTGCACACGCGTGACAGACCTGCCCAGGTGCATGCACAACACACGTGTGGTGAGCCCGTGCATGTGTGCACATGTGTGATACACGGGTGCACGCGCGTGGTACGTGTCTGACACAGGCACACACGTGGAATACACATGCATCGGTGCACAGCTGTGCACGCTCGCACACTGGCACGTGTGCAAACGTGTAAAACTGGAGACCTTCACGAGGTCTGTGGATCACAGGAATGTCTGTGCGCCGGCCATGGCGCGAGCCGGATGCTGCCACGGGGGGAACAGGTGGAGGAACACGGCCTTTCCTCATTGCGCTCTCTTGAGGTGGAAACAGGAGAGCACACGACTTGCTCATCGCTCTTCCCTGTGCACATGTTTTGCTACGTCCCATGAAACTGAAGCCATTTCAAAATTCCAAGTTACGTTTACGAACAAGGCGAGAACAAAGACAAGTCACACGCGATGTGACATCCGATTTTGATCAGAGGGGACAGGGTGGCGAGCGTGGTAAGGACACTGGGGCGGGCTGCCGGAGGGCACACCCACATGCTCATCACAGCGCTGGGGCTGTCCCCCTGCAGAACCAAAGGGGCGGGAATGGCCCCAGAACAAAAGGCAGGAACGCCTCCTGTCACGGCGCCCACGACCCCCAGCGCCCTCCTCCTGCAGACTGAGTGGGCGTGGCCCGCTGTGCCATCATCGCTATGGCGACTGCTCTTGTCCGGGCACAGGCGCCGATCCCATGGGAACTGTCACGTCCACTCATTTCTGCAGCACACGTGGGCCCCATGGCCAGAACTCCGTGTGCGGCACGTGACGACGTCTCTGTTTGGCTCAGCTCCTCAACCCTTCCCTAGCGCTGCCTCTCTCCGAGTGTGTGGCTTGATCCCAGGAGCCCCACGTGCTCTGCCCTCCCCCCCCCCAGAGCTCTGCTGAGCCTGAGGGTCTCCCAGGAAGTGGAGGGCAAGCAGCTAGACGGGTGCCTGGGGGCAGGCGCAGCAGGCGGGGTGGAGGCAGGCCTCATGGGCCACTGACGTCGGGGCTTCTGCTGCATCGAGCACCATCTGGTACTCACAGAGGAGGAAACGGGCTTGCTGGGGACCACTGCTGGCGCTCTGAGCCTGGCCTGCCGGTGCCGGGCCCTGGGCTGGCTCTCGCACCCTGCCCATGCCCTGGCAACTCACGGGACCACAGATGAACATCTCGTGTGATGTCAGGGCACTGTGCTGTGGGTCAGGGCTCCCGTCATGGGCTCTAGACACCAGCAGGGGGTGAGGAGCTCGGCTGGGAGCCACACAACCAGGCTCGCCCTCCCAAGAGGTGTCCCAGATGCTGGGCATGGGCAGTGCCCCCAACGCGGGGAAGGGAAGGTGGGAACTGGAGTCTCCCGGTCTCCTCTGCCGGGGGAGGCCCGCTCCGCTGGACGGGGGGGTCAGTCCCAGGGGATACACGGCCCAGGCGAGCCCCGGGGATGCTTCAGACGATGGGAGCTCAGGGACTGGTCACTTCTGTTCACTGTAAATGCTCATCCGCTGCGTGCAGGGGCTGGAAGTGGGGGCAGGCCCCTCTGCCTCCCGCATCGCTCCCAGCCCAAGCCTCACTTCAATTACGGGTAATTATTGTCCTTGTTGTATACTTTTAAAGCTGTTTCCATCACACATGACAAAGTGTGACGATAACCAAGAGAACACACAAAGCCAACAGGCCTGTGTCGGTGTCAGAGGACTTGCCAAGTGCCATCCCGTGAAGACTGAAGTCCCTCTACCCCACGGGGCCCCTCAGGGCTCACCTGCACTTCCGAGTCGGCGTCCACGTGCTGCAGCTGGAACCAAGTGTCCCTGTTATGGTACTTCGGCAAGTCTTCCTTCTGGATGGCCACCTTCCCTGCAACACAGACGCAGAAGACCAGCGATCACGAGGCGGAAGAGATCCCCCAGAACACGCGGGACTCTCTCCACGACTGGTGCCCGCTGCCCGCTGCCAACACCACTGTCTTCCTTCCGGGAAGACCGCCAGTGGCAATATCTCATCGGGAAGGCCTCTCGCGGGACCTGGCTGGGGCCGGAGCCCGTTCAGCTCCGTACGAGGTTTTAGGAGAAAAGGCTGCCATTCTGTCGGGTCCTTGGGAGCTCAGCACAGCACACCCCAAAATAGGCCACTTTGAGCTGGAGGCAAATGAGAACCAGCAGGTGCGAAAGAGGCCCTCCCAGAGCTGCCCCCACACGGAACTGGTGAGGACTGAGGGCTGCCGTGGACCCTCTCCCAGGGGGTGTTCCGTGAAGAAGTCAGCTGCCCAAGATGGTCCTGCACGGACAAACCTGACCGCACTCACCCCCCGCGCTCGCTCCCCACAGCCTTCTGCCCTGGGAAGCCTAAAACCTCTCCCCTTGTCGGGTCGCTTCTCTGGGTGTGGACTGCTCCTCTGCCCAAGTCCGGCCAGCTCTTTGAGGTCCTGGTCAGGGAGATGTCTCCCGCCTGCCATGACCTGCGGGCGTGAAGAAACTATTCTCTCCTCCCGATGTTACAGGCCCTGCCGGAGAACCTCGGTGGGTAGAGAGCAAGGTTACCTCCCTGATGGGTTTCCGTCTTGTTCCAAGAACTCAGCCGGACGACCTCTGCCCTCCAGACCCCGGGAGACCTACCCATGAGGCACAGATGGGCTTCGGATGGCAACATGTGTACAGAAAATCCATTCCATGGGCAGAGAGGGCTGGGCCTGGGGAGTTAGGCTGACGGACTGACTCCCACCGTCACTGCCGTCAGCCCCCATGTCCCTGCTGGTGGAACCACCATTTCCATCCCTCATACTCTCCAATGGAAGAAACCTCACACTTCCCAGCCACCAAACAGCCTTGGGAAGGACCCTGGGATCACCCCACGAGGGCTCGTCAGTAAGGTGAGTACTTGTGTCCCCTCTGGGGTGGATACAGCCCATCAGCAGCCCCAGCATCCATACCGCTGCCCACCTGGACCTGCCGCTTCGGCTCTCACCTCCAGGAGCCATCTGGAACCAGAGCCTCCGACGCCATAGACTGCAAGACCCGTTAAAGCCACTGCTCGAAGCTGGCAGGTGGGCATGAAGGGAGGAGGCAGAGAGCAAGAGGGGCAGGTACAGACAACGTGGCAGGCACAGTCCACGGAGGACACACCACAGACATGCACAGAGAAGCCCAGCCTACAGGCCACGTGGGATTTCCTCCAGCAGAGCCACGTCACAGGGCCGATGGCTCCCGTAGGACCCTTGCTTCTGCCGGGCCCCAGTCCTCCCCGCCCCCAGCCCTGGCCTCCCCAGAGCACCCCCAGCAGAGCAAAAACTGTCCTTCCTCTCCTGGCAGCTCCTGTAGCCTCCATCCTTTTGCCCCCAGTGGGAATGTGGTTGTTAAGTCTCAAGGGAATAAAGCCACATGAAAAAAATTCTTGGAATTGAATTGGGCAACATATTTCACTGAAAAAGATAAAGAAATCTTCAGACTGTGATTCATTCAGCTGGATAAGAGGATTACATTTGAGATTAGAAATGTTAAGTCACTGAACTGTTTTACGAGCTTTAGCTGAAACAGAGAGGAACTGCATGTTTAACGTTTATATGAATCCCACAACTTATATATCATTACTTAGTATACAAATGTGTACTTTTTAAACACATATGTTAGTGTTTCTAAATGTTGTTCGGAGAGAACACCTGACCTCTGAACTATAATAACTACTTAAAACCTGACCTCTGAACTATAATAACTACTTAAATATGTCCCAGTCTATCTGAGTGACACACAAAGGTCACCAAACCACTCTGGGCCTCACTGTCTCACTTGGACAGAGGTGGTGCCGCCCACCTTCACACAGGAAAACCCCATGCCTTCAAGGTCAGCTCAGAAGAGAGAGTGTGCCAAGGAGCACACCAGAGGCAGGTGACGTGGGGACTAGCCCCAGGGGATGGGGGTGAAAGCTGCAGGAAGGCTAGCTAAGGTTAGACTCAATGAGAGACGGACGGATGTCTCCCGAGACAAGAAGGGGTAGAGATGCCTGTAGAACGGGCTCCAGTTCCAGCTGGTGTCCTGCGAGGGCCTGGCCATAAGGAAAGGCCAGGAAGAAAGGAAAGGAAGAAATAGAGTCTTACTCACAGAATCTACAGGAAAATCTATAAGAGAAGCTAGCTCAGGTGTGTTCAGCAGGACTACAAAATACAAAGCCCATACACAAAATCAGTCATTATTTGTGCATACAAGCAATGAAAATAAGGACTGAAATTAAACAACAACAACAACAACAGAAGCTCCACAAAAGGATGCTTTGATGGCTTGTGCCTCTGGTGTGCTAGCTTAAGAAATCTTCATCTACCCCATCGAAAACATAACATACATAGGGAAAATGTAAATTACATATGCCAGATGCGTATGCTGAAAACATCACAAACACTGATGAGAGAGATTTAGGAAGACCAAGCACATGCCCCACTGGAGGGTCTGAAGACTCCATTTTGTTAAGACGTTAATTCTCCCTCAAATTAATCTATATACCTGTGTAATCTCAGTGGTTTTGGAAACTGAGAAGCTGATTAAAAAATGTAAGTGAAAACTGAAAGAACCTAGAATAGCAAAACAAGCTTGGAAAAGAACAGAGTTGGCTCACACCACTGACTTGAGCCCAGCAAAGGCCACAGGTGCTAAGGCCACGGGTATCAGAGCAAGGAAAGGGGTACAGGTGGGTGCGACAGGCTAGGAAAGCCAGAGAGGGCCCAGACGCATAAAGTTGGGTGATTTTCAAGAAGGCACCAAGGTAATTCAATGGAGAAAGGATAATTTTGCGTAAAAAACGCTGGTATAACTGACATTTATAAGGAGAAAAATGAACTCTGTGTCAGACTTACAATTCACCTGACAGAGATCTGAATGTAGGAGACAAAACCATAAGCTTTCCTTTAAAAAAAAAAAAAAAAAGAGAGAGAGAGAGAGAGAGAGAAGAAGATAGAAGAAAACTCTATAACCCTGGAGTAGGCAAAGATTTCTTAGCCATGACACCAAAAATGCAAGCTATAGAACAATTCTGACAAGCTGGACTTCATCAAAATTGAAGACTTCCGGGCTTTGAGAAACACTGGTAAGAAAATGAAAATAACAAAGAGGAAGAACGTATTTGTAAAACAAGCATCTCATGGAGAACTTGTATCCAGAATACACAAAAAACTTTTAAAACTCCATAATAAAACAATTAAAAGGACAAAACATTTGGACAATTAACCAAAGAACAGGTATAGACAATTAACAAATGAAAACATGCCCAGGCTTATTCCTCACCAGAAAATGCAATAAAAGAGTCAAGATGGCGGAGGAGTAGCAGACCGAGATGACATCAGCTCGTAGGCGATCAGCTAGACAGTTATCAGACCTTCCGAACACTGACACACTCAACAGGAGATCGAAGAGAAGAGGAGCAGCGATTCTAGAACAGAAAATTGACCACTTCCTGGAAGGTAGGACGTGCGGAGAAGTGAGTCCAAAGCGATGGGAAGATAGACTGTGGGGGAGGGGCCAGCTCCTGGCAAGCGGCGGAGCACAAAATCCGAACTTCTAGAAGTCGGCTCCACGGAGGGACGTCGCTCCAGAGGCTAAGTGGGGGGTGGAGCCGTTGCGGGGACAGTGTGGTCTCAGGTCTCGTGGGGTCACACAAAGACCCGGGGTGTCTGCGTTTGGCAGACCTTGCAGGTGTCAGAGCAGGGAAGCCAGCTGCAGAGACGGAGCCAAGGAGTGAGCTCTCAGCTCGGGGTTACCTTAAACTGTGATCCATGGCACAGTAAGGCCACTGCTTTTTGAGCAGGGACTCCACAAGTGGCAGATCTGGGGAAATGCCCCTGGAAGAGTGGCAGGGATCTGCTGGGTTTGGAGACTCCAAATGGGGCTGTGTGCCAGAGACAGAGACGCTTGGTCACAGGGTGGATGAGCTCCGAGCGCAGCCAGAGACCAGGGAGATGGGAGGGACTGACTGCTTCTTTCTGAGGGTGCACTGAGGAGTGGGGGGGCCCAAGCTCTTGGCTCCTCTTGCCAGAGAGTGGGAGGCCACCATCTTCATTCCCATCCTCCAAAGCGGAATGAAAGCATTCAGGGAGCAAAAGCTCTGAGAGTGAACCCAAGCAGATTACTTAGCCTGGCCCCTAGCAAGGGCGATGCTGTTCCACCTCTGGCAAAGACATTTGAGAATCACTGCAACAGGCCCCTCCCCCAGAAGATCAGCAAAAACATCCAGCCAAGACCAAGCTCACCGATCAAGAACAGTGGAATTCCAGAGGAGGGGAAAGCAACACACAGAATTCATGGCTTTCTCCCCAGGATTCCTTAGTATTGCAAAGATAATTAACTTTGTTTCATTTTATTTTTTCTTATTTAATTTTTTTAACTTTTCCTCTTTCCTCTTTTAACTTTTTTTTTTAACTAGTTTACCTTAATAATACCTTTCTAAAAAAATGTTTTTAAACCTTCATTATTGTGGTCACATTTAATCCTTCATTTTAACTAGCTTTATTTTTTGTATACACATAGGGTTTTTTTCTTCTAAAAAATTTTGGGATACAACATCTAATAGATCAAAATATACCCTAATCTAGCACATGGCTTTTGATCTAGTCTCCAGTCTGAGCAAATTCTCTCCACTTTCTTTTTCTTTCTTTTTCCAACCAACTTATCAATTCCTTTTTTAGAATTTTTAAAAAATTTTCATCTTTACAGTCATATTCTATCGCTTCATCATGTTTACCCTTAGTTTTGTATATATGTAAGTTTTCTTTCTTTAAAATTTTGGGAGGTAGTTTCTTCTAAGAGACCAAAATATACCCAAAATCAAGTGGGTGGCTCTGTTCTATTCACCAGTCTAAAATATATATATATATATTT